TGTGTGTGTGTGTGTGTGTGTGTGTGTGTGTGTGTGTGTGTGTGTGTGTATTTGGGTGGAGCCCATACATACTGTGTAGTTTAAAAGTGCAAAGAAGGGAAAGAGTTCATTTTTTGCATTTTCCCCCTGAAAAGCAGCAATAGGCCCAAGGAAACTGTTATTTCTATCAAATAAGAAATGTAGTTATCAAAGGATCACAGCTGCAAGAAACCTTAAACACAGAGTCCTACTCTCGATTTACACGTAAGGAAACTGAGTCAATTAAGTGACTTGCCTAAAAACACACATGGAGAAGGGTCAGGGGTCAAGTCCTCTGACTCCAAAGTCACTGTTCCATACTTTACTGCTTCATCCAAAGAAAAACAAAACTTTCTTCTTTCTAAGATTCCCAATCTTGTAGCAAGACATTTATAATTTAATTATATTAAAATATCTATATTATATATTCTCAGATGATAAATTCTCCTTCCCAGTTTCACCAAATTTTGTTACGATATTGGCACCTATATCAGGGACACTGGATACCATCCACTTTAAAAAAAAAAAAAAGGTTTAATTTATTCAGTTATTTTGTATTAGCAACAAAGCCCCAACACCTAATTGGCATCTCGTCCCTATAGATGCTGCAAGAGATTAAGTTCTAGGAACTGGGGCTTCCAGATTGAGTAGAGAATAACCATGTGACTACTCTTCCAAAAGGCACTCTTCAATGTAAATACAGCGGTCATATGGTATCTAGCAGACAACCTTAGGGCTCCCATATTTGTTTTTTTCCTTTTCCTTCTCCAACTCATTTTACAGATAAGGAAACTGGGGCAAATAGTGATTAAGTGACTTGCCCAGGGTCACACAACTAGTATCTGGGGCCACATTTGAACTCAGGTCTTCCTGACCCCAGGCCTGGTGCACTGCGCCACCTAGCTGTCCTGATAATTGATCATACAAAACAGATTCTAATACACCCCCTCCTATTTCTATATAAGCATTTCAAAATTAGGGCGATGATCCATTACTGGGTGTCACTGTTGTTAAAAGAACCTTGTTTAATTTGTAAAAGGTAATCTCAGATAGAAAGCTAGAGAATGCCTACAATGCCTGTTATTTTTCACCACTGTGTTCCACACACTGTGTCTATGCCCTTCCCTACTCTAATTTCATCTGAATTTCCAATAAATGATGAGGAAGATGAGTGTTCATCACAGAAGCACTGGTGTATGTCAAATGACTGAATTTTGGTATTAGGAGCACTAGAAAAAGAAATGGATTCCAGGATATACTCCAGCACTGGGCCCAAGCAAATTAATATATGTAAATGCACAAAATATGGCTAATATGCAGATGAGCTAGGGATCCTAGAGGATGAAAGCAAATTTGACTTCATAGGTATCATTAAGATTTTATGGCATAAGACCCATGACTGGAAAATTCCCTCTTCCTGTTGTGACCCAACCTAGAAAAATCATAGAATCTCCTTAAAAGGATAATTTGAAAATCCAAATTTTTAAAAATGAATGATAAAAGTTTCTTCTACATGTAATTCAGAAATGTTTAACAAAATAAATAAAAAATGCATTTTTTAAAAAGCAGGGGGGAAACCCCTAAACAGGCCATCTATTCTAACCCAACCTGAACAGGAATTTTCACTGAAACTCCACTAAGTAATTATCTTGCATGCTCATGAAGACTTCACCCAGACATTGTAGTGGGAGGCACCATGTCCCCCCCCATTTTTAAAAAGTAAAATATTTTTTGTTAATAATTTAAAATTAAAATATTTTGAGACTAAAAATGTTTAAGGACAGCATCACCATTCTAGGCTTACCATATTTACCTTCATGAAGACTACAGTCCTTGTGATATTTTTTTAACTCATGGTTTCTTTTTTTATTTTGGTGAAGCAATTGGGGTTAAGTGACTTGCCCAGGGTCACACAGCTAGTAAGTTTCAAGTGTATGAGGCTGGATTTGAACTCGGGTTCTCCTGACTCCAAGGCCAGAGCTCTATCTACTGTGCCACCTAGCTGCTCCATAACTCATGGTTTCTTAATTCTGCACTCTAGAACCAAGCAAAACAATTCTAATCCTCTTTCCACAGGAAGTATTCTAAGTCTCTCTTTTTTTTTCCTCCAGGCAAAACATTCCCAGTTCCTTCAACAGACCCTCATCTAATATGACCTTAAGGCCCCTGCCTCCTGGCTGCCATCCTCTGGATATCATCCTGTTTGTCAGTGGCCATCTTAAACTGTAGCACCCAAAAAACGGAAAGCAAAACTTGAGTCATGATCTGACCAGGGCAGAGTACAATGGGGACATAGCTTTCCAGGTCCTAGGTGCTATTCCTCTTAATGCCGACTAAGACTGCATTAGCTATTTCTGGCTCAAACCACCCTGGAAATACAGGGGTCTTACCCCACTCTGAAACTCCTCTTTCCTTACCATAACTTAAAAGAATGCTCCCCTCCTCCCCTTAGCTTTCAATTCTGAGCTTTAGCACTCCTGATAAATTTTACAGAATCATGCCATACTTTTGCATTCAGCCTCCATCATCTGACCTTTCTTATAAATTTTTGTTGAAAAGTCGTTTTTAGTCGTGTCCAACTCTTCCTGACTCCATTTGGGGTTTTCTTGGCAAAGATACTGGAGTGGTTTGCCATTTCCTTCTCCAGCTCATTTTACAGATGAAGAACTGAGGCAAACAAGGTTAAGCAACTTGCCCTCAGTCACACAGCGAATAAGTGTCTGAGGCTGAATTTTAACTCAGGTCTTCCTGACTCCAGGTCTGGCACTCTATCCACTGAACTGCCCTCCAAATTTTGGACGAGTCTTTTAAAATCCACCCAGGGTTCCCACATCAGTCTTTTTTTTCTGAACTGGACTTGTGATTTCCCCGGGTGTCCCTGGATGAAGAAAGTCCCTCAGCTAAGACTGATTAACCATCTGCGGTCTTGCAGAGTTTTCTGGGGGATCTGAGGAGCTAACTGACTTATCATTTATGATAACAAAGCCAGCATGGGCCAGAGGTGGGAACATAAACCCAGGCCTCCCCGACCTGAAGCCATCTCTCTATCCGCTATGCCACGCTCTACCTGCACATCAGTCTTTAGACAACCAGAAAGCTCCCCCATGTCTTCCTCGTCAGCATGGGTTCTCTTTGGGTCTTCAGAATTCCATGGAAGGGGTACAATTTCATTGCCCCCATAAGGGCAGCAGCAGGGCCCAGGAATGGAAATAAAAGACGGTTTAAAATTCTCATCATTCATGTCGTCGTAGGCTGCTAATGCTCTTACTCCTGGCTCGGTATTTTTTTTCCATTGCCCTCCCCTACCAGTACCACATTTAAAACAAAACAAAAAACCCTTAGTGAGCAGGTAAGGAATGTGGGTGGTTGTCACAGTTCCTAGGGGCCAGGGTTAGGTAGTGAAAACAGCAGAAAACTTTCCACCAGAGGCTGATGAGTGTGGGAAGATAGGCAAGGGCGCCTAGAATGGACCGCAGTGAACCACTGTGGTTACTACTGAACAAAAAATAGGAGAATTAACTTCATTTTCTGTTTTAAGGACCAACAGAAATTCCCTAACAATGCAGGTAGACAGACCTAGGCCATAACAGAAAAATCTAGAACATGTATACTTCACTTTAAGCAAATTCAGGTTGACTGAAAAATCTGAAGTTATGATGAAGCTATATGGGAGAACATTCTGGCTTTACTAAAAGGTTCAGAAGTGGCGAGGAAGCCTGGAGCCAAGTTCAAATTCTGCCTCACACACTTAACTGGCTGTGTGACTCTGGGCAAGAGTTTCAGACTCAGTTTCCTTATCCAAGGAATGGGGATAACAACACCACCTACTTCACAAGGTAGCAATGAGGGTTAAATGAGATAACCTATGTAAAGTGCTTTGAAAATCTTAAAGTATTATATAAATTCTAGCTATCACACAAAAGTTCACACCAGTACCTCTTTAAATATAACCTGTCCAAGTGCATGTAAAGTATGATTATATTTAAAAACATTAGTAACATTTGTTACAAACAGTACAATGTTCATTATATGTGTCCTTCTATATAAAGGTGTATCCTACTATATAAAGGCACCATAGGGTGTGTCTTACTATATAAAGGCACACCTGGGTGCTTAAATGTAAACTTAGAAACAGATAAATGAAGGTGTAACTATTCCAATTGCAAAGGAATCCTTTAAAAAAAAATCCTATGTTAAATTGCAGTATTTCTTCAGAATGAATTTACTAGTGGATTTAAAATAAAATTTTAATTTTTTAAAACTTCAAGTTAGAACTTCTCAGGAATACATCACATGAATAAATGTGTCCAGTTAGGTGGCGCAGGGGTTAGAGCACTGGGCTTGGAATTAGAAAGATTCATCAAATCCAACCTCAAACACTTGACTACTTACTAGCTGTGTGACCCTGGGCAAGTCACTTCACCCTGTTAGCCTCAGTTCTTTAAATGTAAAATGAGCTGGAAAAGGCAATGGCAAACTACTTTAGTATCTTTGCCAAAAGAACCTCAAATGGGGTCACAGAGAAGCTAAAAGGAATGAACAACAACAAGGTATCCAGCAAATAACACCAATGCTCCCAGGGAGAACACTTGGGCCAGACTGTGACCCAAACAGCCAAAGGGACCAAGCTGCTTCACGTATACATCCAGGGGTCTCATCTCATTCTGGCTCCAACGCAGACATGCACAGCCAAGACCTGAATACAATCCCCTCATGGCCTACATGTGAAGACCACACCTGCTTCCAGGGTCAGAGAGACAAAAATAGCCCAGGGGTTTTAAAAGTAGGACACTGGCCAGCCCAGAAGGTGATAACAGGCTTTTCCCCTTTCCTACACTAACTTTTAAAAGCAACAAGCCTTTACACTTCTAAAAAAAATTTTACAGGAAACTCTACAACTGATCTCAGGCCTCATCCCAACCCCCAACCATCACTCCATTTCCAGACTCTGAGCTCCTCATGGCTAAAAACAAGTCCTAGGCTCTCAAGATGGTAGCAAACAAGTGGAAATCAGGAGACTTTGGCTGTAACCCTGCTTCTCCTACTAACTCCCTAACCCCTCCAAATACAGTTCTTCACAACTTGAGCCTCTTCTCTCCTGGCTTTCCTCCTCTTTCCATGCAGTGACACCATCCTCTTACCTGATGAATTCCTCCTACAGTCTACCCTCCATTTTGAAGGCAGCCCTGAAGGTCACTTGTTCACTCCTCTCCTGGCTTCTGACCCAAGCACCTCATGTTTGTACTGTCCCCCTCCAACTTTTCTGCTTCCTTCCTCTATTCTCAGGTAAGTTCCTTGAGAGCAAGAATTGTCTTTATTTTTGATTGCATACATATTCCTAGGGCCTGGAACATAGTAAGCATTTAATAAATGCTTGCTGACTTAAACTGACCCTTCACTGGAAACCTTAGTCATTCCTCTATAAAGTCGACAGGTTGGACTATATTACCTCTAAGGTTTCCCTCATCATTAAAATTCTCTCATTGTCTCAAAATTGAGATGGGCAAAGTGGTAACTTACCAGAATTTTGCCAAGTGATCTATCCCCAAATGCAAGCAACACATACTCACATTTTTGCTATTAGATAATCTATAAACTCCATATATCCAACTATGAAACACAGGTTGTAAAATTTCCCAACATTTGGTTATCACTCTATGTGATATTTTAGGGTTAGGGGGGTCCCAACCACCAAAAGGCAGAATTACAGAAAATAGATTGGTGCTCAAGAAGTAGTACTTTGTAGTATCTTCCAACCCTCAAAGCTGCCATGCTTGGGCAGAAGAGAATCTGGTTGGCCCTAAAATGGTTCTGCTAGGCACCATGATACCCTTCTGGTAACACAGGGCAGCCTCTGTAGTAGGAATATTGCTTCCCCTTGTCCTCTAACCATCCCTTGGAATTATATATACCCAGTGACCCCTCTACTGCCATATCAGACCTGATGATTATGTCCTAGTATTTCTCTCTTCTTTATATTCCTTTTGTTCCATTTTGGGTTTTTTTTTTTCCTTACTCTACCCTCTCTTCTCTCTATTATCCTATCCTCCCCTTACCATAGTTAGGATTTTACTTTTTAAAGGGCTATCTTCATCTCTAAAATTAAAACTATACATGATAGCTATAACAATATAAATGTAAAAATATTAAATTTTAAATTTTAAATTAAATAAAAAATTAAAAGAGAATGCCAAAATTATAAAAAGCCAGTCTGGACCCAAGGAGATATATGAAAAAGTACTTTTCCAGTATTTCTTTGTAGAGATGGAGACCCATCTATGGGTGTGGACACTATATAAGGTCAGACATTTTTAGTTTAGTTTTAAATTAGATTTAGGTTTAGATTAGTTTTGTTGGGCTGTTTTTTTCCTCTTATTTCTTATAATAAAAAAAAGACTTCCTGGGAGAGGGAGGGGAGGAAGGAATACATTGTGAAATTCAGACCATGTTAAAACAAAAGAAACCAATAAAACTTTGTTGTTTTTTTTTTTTTAGAAAAATCAAGGTTGAGTTAACTGAGACATCTTTAAGATCAGGACAACTTTATTAACAATTAACTGGAATTTCTTATCTCATTTAGGAGACACTGGAAGGATTCTGGACCCATCTTACCAAGCTCCTCCCTCTACATGGGGAAAGGACTAATTTCTCGTGCTTTTTCATACTTTATCCATTTGCTGAAAAGTTTACATTTTAACGTTTTTGAAACAGAAAGTATGGAGGTGGGGAAAGCTGGCTTCATCAAGAATCTAATTTCCTTCCTCTATAGTTTTGGAAAGTTGAAAATGCCACCCATGCCAAGAGAGGGAAGCAAGAGGCTCAACAGCTTTTACCTCATTTATCCTTCCACCCTCAGGGCTCCACTGAGTTATTATTTACATCTTTAATTGAGAAAAGGAGCAAACCAGAAACATCAAAAGGAAATGAAAGAAGGCAGGGTGGGGGAAAAAAATCTTTTAATCTACTGCTTAATTTATATACAGGTAAGGTAGGTGGAAATTATCATTCCCTAAAAGCCACTTCCTCTACCATTAGAAGTTGTGGGGGTTTTTTGGGAGGGTGGAGGAAGAGAAGTGTTATGGGGAAAGAGGAGGTTATAAAGGGTTATTTTTCTTTAATTAAAAAAATGAGAGAACATTTACCAAGTAAAAAGGTAATTTTGGCATTTCTAGTCAATATTGCACTGAGCCATTAGATTTGGTCATTTATGAAAATAATTTCTGTCTTTGGAGAGAACAGTTTCAGTTGAGTGATGGAGTCAGAAGTCAAACTGCAGAGTTCAGAGGAGAATGAGGGAGAGGAAGGGAAACAATAATAATGACAGCTAGAATTTATACAAAATCTTACAAATATCTCATTTTATGTTTACAATAACCCTGGGAGATACATGCTTTTAAGTTCTATTTTACAGAGATGGAAAACTGAGGAAAGTGAGGCAGACAGAGAGATACAGTGACTTGCCCAGGGTCACACAGCTAGTAAACTATCTGAGGCCACATCTGAACTCTGGTCTTCCTTATTTCAAGCCCAGCATTTTATCCATTTTAACACCTACCTACCTGCTTCTTGGGAGCATCACATAAAGATAACTTTATGTAGGAGTCTGACAAAAAATAGAAGAAGAAATATAGGATGATAGCAATTGGGGGCTGAGGAATAGAGTCAGGATTTTTTAAGGATGGGGAAACTGGGATGCATTTGTAAATAGCAAGGAAGGAGCCAGGAAATAGGTAGGAATTGGTGATTAGAGAGGAGGTGATAGTGGGGGTTATTTGCTAGAAAAAACTAGAAGGGGGAGGATAGGGGATCAAGGGTACATGTAGAGGGGTTGGCCATGGCAAGGAGAAAGGTCTTTTCATCATCACAGTCTGGAAAAAAGGAGGAAACTGGGAGGGACAATATCAAGGGGGTTATAGGATGAAGAGGAGAGAACGTGAGGAAGGGAAAAAGGGGAAGGTTTTATCAAATGCCATTGATTTTTTTTTTTCAGTAAAGTATGAAGTAAGGAGTCCAGAGAGAAGAGAGTGGGAGAATGAGGTCTACTATGGTATACTTAAGGAAAGAAGAGAAGGTCTGGAACAACTATTATGGAAAACAGATTAAAGAATCAATTAGGGGGGCAGCTAGGTGGCGCAGTGGATACAGCACCTGCCCTGAAGTCGGGAGGACCTGAGTTCAAATCCAGCCTCAGACACATAACATTCACTAGCTGTGTGACTATGAGCAAGTCACTTAACCCCAACTGCCTCACCAAAGAAAAAAAAATAAAATAAATCAATTAGGGAGGAAGCACACTTCAAAGATAGATATATATTTAAATGTTATATTATTATGTGTCACATATTGTCATAATATAAACATAACATTTCTATTATATATTATATATAATACATATTATATACCATATAAATGTAATACATATATACTTACATATTTTATATTATGTATTACATAAAATATTATGCAAAATGAGCAAAATGGATTAAAAAAAGATTATACAGCAGATTAACATGGAAGGTTTCCTTTAAAAGGAGTTTAAGGGTTTATAAAAATAAGAATATGCATATATATACATATACACATATATGTATATGTGCATGTATATGTATATATACACACACACACATATATAGTCCCACACACCTCCCCTGAAACTCTGAAAGAATCTATATTCCTTAAGTGCTGGGATTGTTTCATTTTTATTTTTCTATCTATAGCACCAAGCACAGTCACTGGCAAATAGCAGGCGCTTATTAAGTGCTCTAGAGGAAGGCAGAATTCCAGAGGAGAGAAATGGAGGTAGAAGCATGCAAACTATATGCAGAAAATGCCAGAGTTGCTTGGCTGATGTAATCTATGCGAGAATAGTGATAAATTAGGTTGATAAGGCATAAGTCAGGGGAGAGTGATATGGTCAGATGGGTACATCCTGAAAGTCAAGCTAAGGGAGTCCCTGCAGGTATCTGGTCAGAAGAATGACAGAAAAAATCATGTTTGAGGGAAAATGCACTCTTGGTTCTATAGAAAATGAATTAGAAAAGGGAAACAACAGAGAAAAAAAAAACAGCTCTAGGCCACAGATAGCTACAGTTGTCTAGGGATGGTCTTGGTGGCTATGAAACCTAAAAAGAATACACAACTCTAAGAGATTTGGCAACTGACAAAAGTGCTTATGGATGTGAGGGCTTTAAAAACTCCAAATGATGTTACTGAACAGGACTTTCCTTACTAGGCTATTTACATTATCTCAATGTGACAGCCCTTAAAGTTGTGTCAACACCTTATACCCACTCCTCTCAGATGAGGCTAAATTAAGCAAACTGTCTAATTTCTATCAGCTCACACTGCAACAACAGAAAATACACACCATACAGCTGACAAGATCTGTAGTCAGGTTACTGTTTAAAAACAGAACAGCCACGACTCATGTGGATTTATCACTAATTTCACCAAGGAGAAGAGGGTTGAGGACTAATTAAACCTAGTCTCTTAACAAGAAAGGTGGAAATTATTGTTGCATCAACTGGGTTATAATTTAATATTACACCCAAATTCAGCAGCAGGGGAAAAGATAGAGAACTCAAAAATCTAATTCACTGTTTTAAAGCATCCTCTTAAAACTAACACTCTTCTATGTTCTTTTTTATTTTTTACCCAATACCTGTTAACATTACAGTTTACAAAATAATGTCCCTGACCCAAGTAGAGCTTTCAACCCACAACATAGCACATACTCAATGATAAACAAAAATAAATAAAATTACTATACTCATAATTTTGCTATAACTTGGCCCCCTAGTTTTCATTCTCTCTCTGTCTCTCCCCCCCTCTCCCCTGCCCCATTACCTTCTATATACTTATCTTTGGGTAGTTTGGACTTATGTCAGTTGAATAAAATCTTCCTGAAGGCAGGGACCATTCAGTTTTGGTTTAGGTATTCTCAGAAAACAGGCACAGTGCCCTGAAGATGTTTTATTGTTTTGTTTTTGTTGTCCAGACCTCTGATTTCATTAGTATGGAGAACTCCTGGTGGGGAAACACCCTTCACACATCTGCAAGTCTTGGGTAACTTACATTCTTATAAAATTGGAAGAAAAGAAGCTGAATGAGTTGTCTGTGGTCAGTCACACAACTAGCATTGTGTCAGTGGCTTGATTTGAACACAAGTCTTTCTGACTTGAAGGCTGACCCTCTATCTTCTGTACTTTGTAAACAGGAACCACTTAATACACATTTGTTAAATTAAAAAGTACCACTTGCTACATAGTACTGGCACCTTCTCAACAATGGTCATATATACCTGCCTGCGGCACACACAGCTATTATGTGTCTTGGAACCAGGTCTTCCTAACTCTGAAGGCAGCTCCCTATCCACTGTACCACACTGCCTCTCAGGCACTGGGGATACAAAAACAAAAACAGAAGCAAAACTGTCTCCCCTCAAGGAGCTTTTTATTTGGGAAACAATGAGCATTTAGAAAAAATAAAAATATATACAAAGTAGATAAAAAAGTAAATTTAGGGAAATGGGGACTAGCTCCTAGGTGAACACGCTTCCTATATAGGTAAGCACTACTGTGTTTTTTTGTATTGTTTTGCTAGGCAATGGGGTTAAGTGACTTGCCCAGTGTCACACAGCTGGTAAGTGTCAAGTGTCTAAGGGCAGATTTGAACTCAGGTCCTCTTGACTCCAGGGCCAGTGCTCTATCCACTGGGCCAGCTAGCGGCCCCACGCACTATTGTGTTTTGAAGGATGCCAGGAATTGTATGAGGCAGAGGCAGAGAGAGAATATATCCCAGGGAGAAGAGTAATGTTCAAAAAACCTGGAAATGTAAACTGAGGACTGAGGAGAGTTTGTACTTTATCTCAGAGTCTCGTCTGGGGTTTCTTGAATATGAGAATAAGAAGGTCAGATGGATGCTTGAAAAAAGAAGCTATTTGGTAGGAGAATAAATTGGAGAGAAGTGAGAGACTAGATCCAGGGAGACAAGTCGGGGCACCATAGCAATAGTGTAGGTGAGAGGGGAGGAGGTCCTGAACCAGGGTCATAGCCATGTAGGTGTAAAGATGGGGATGGATATAAGATATTGACAAGATGAGGCAACTGACTAGAGAATGGGGATGAGGATCGAAGAGTTAAAGATGATTAAAAAGTGGTCAACTTGGACGAGCAGAAAGATGATGGCGCCTTCAACACCTGAGGCTATTGTAGCAAAGTCCTCCAGCAATACAGCACAGATTTTAATACAGTAAAACATGGTGGATTTCTTTTAACCCTATCATAACACCAACAATAGTAAATATCCACAGAATTCGTTTTTATGGGAAACCATTTTTAAATGCTGGGTTGTTTATTCTTCCAACCCCTGGAAATATAGGCCCTTACTAAGCTGCATAACAAAAAATAAATAAATCAACGAAATTAAGCTACTAAGATGAAAGAGGTATTCATTTGCTCACTCATTCAAAAGATGGATGTTTAATGAACACCTGCCATGAATAAGGCAAACATGAAAGGGTGAAAAGGAGAGGAAGCCTAACAGGGGAAAAGAAACAGAACATATGTAAAGTGCAAGTGTTCAAAGCATAGGTAATAGCTTTAAAAATGTAAAACTGAGAAAAGGTTGAAAAGGGGAACAATTCAGAGAGAAGAAAGGGAAATGAAAGCCATGATGAAACCAATAGTGAAGCCTGAATTGTATGGGGGTGGGTAATAAAAATGATTGTAGGCAGAGTGGTTCTGAGGCAGCCAAATCTGTCTCCATAAAATCTGATCACCTCAGATGACACCCAGCTGACCTGACTTCACATAAAGTTATCAGCAAATGCGCCAACAACAATATATATGCAAATGGCTGGGTAGCACATGGAAAGTCAACACTGGTAAAAACTATTTCTCGAGTTTGTTTTGTCCAATCCAAAAATGAGCCAGAAAGAAAAGTTCAGTATCAAGTTGGTATGCTAATGCCAAGATTTACAAATGTGATGACCCAACTCTACCAAGAATATTAACAGATCTTGTAGAAGTAGCACAGCAGATGAGTTTCCTACAGACATTTCAAGAACGATAGAAATGTTCAAATTAGTCAAACATATGCCTTTTTATGGTTTGTTCTTACAATTATATTTTGAGGGCTACCATGCTGATTGGTGCAGCAGTTACCCATGACAGCCATGCTATTGATAGACAGCAATGAGTCTTGTCCTCAGGCTAGGACTTCTGAATTACCAGCTGCTATAGGAATCATGAAATTCAATAATTCTGATGTTACAGAATAAGAATGATTTGGTGGAATCTCTTCCAGGGTAAGGTCAGGGTAAGGAACAGGATAAACTTTGTATTTGTGCAATGTACAGCTGAAATGTTAATACTGAAATTATTTTGAGTCCATAGTTAAGAAAACTTCATGACTCTTACAATACTACTTCAGTACCTAAAATTATCCTATTAAGTCCTTGGTCTCAACAAACGAAATGGATGATTAAGATTAAGAGTGGTATGGCAGGAAGTTATATTCTAAAAGGAGTACTGAAGATGAATCAGGAGTTAAGAGGATAGACCTGGAACTATCTCCAAAAACAAGGAAGGGAAACTCACAAGTAAGCCAATTTTTTCCCATAATTGTACCACTTTTTGGATCATAGAATGATCTTCAGTTTGCTGCTCCTAGAGGCCTTATCTGAGTTGAAACAAAAATTGATTCAAATTTGTGCTTTGCTGACCAAAGGGTGGGATGAGTTCTTGGGGCACCTGGAGCAGCACCTGAAAATGTCAGCAAACTGAATGAATGAATGAAGCATTTATTAAGTTCTCAGTACTTGCAAAGCCCCGTGCAAAGTGCTCTCCAACAGCTCACATTCTCATGAGGAGAGAACAGAGATGCAGACAATACAGCTGCAAGTCAGGTGGAAAGGTCCCTTGGTCCTCAGGAGTACATTAGCAAAACAGATGTTAAAGCCTCTTCTTTAACGTCATTTCCACTGAAAAAATATCACTTTCTGATGTTAAACCATTGGACGATGCCAAGTGTCTTTGATGGCAAGAACTCTCGTTTTTGGGGTTTTCAGTATTTGTGTCTGTGATAGGAGCACAGGTACCTCCCAGGATGAGGGTTGAGGACACTGGGCTAGAACTGTTGCTATTTGCAAGATTCAGGGTCCTGGCCTATTTCTATCAGATCCTGAAGTGAATTGGCATTTGTCATTGCGGGGCTGGTGGGTGGGGATGGCAAAAGACGACTTTTAGGTATGTACACTGAAGGAGATTAAAAAAAAAAAAGAGCGAAGATTGCGCAAGAATGAAGTGCTTGGGGCAGCTAGGTGGCGCAGTGGATACAGTACTGGCCCTGGAGACAGGAGGACCTGAGTTCAAATCCAGCCTCAGACACATAACACTTACTAGCTGTGTGACTCTGGGCAAATCACTTAACCCCAATTGCTTCACCAAAAAACAAACAAACAAAAAAAAAACCCACCAAACCACAGAAACACTCTTTAAAAAAAAAAAAAAGAATGACGTGCTTATGGTAGGAATGACCAAAAAA